CAGTAATTTCCGGCAGTTCCTCTTCTTGTACCAATCTGAAATTCTTCCCCTCGGCCAATACTTCTTTCATTGCTGCAATTAAAATTAAAATAATGAGTGTAGAAATCATCAAAACCATACATGAACCTATTAAACAAGTAAAAAACTAGAACAAAAGTGCTATGGTAACAAAAACGTTTTGACAAAGTCAAACAATAGTAACAAATTAGTTTGACAGTTGTTTGACGTTATAAACGTCAGTAAAGAAACTGTTGCCATGTCACTATTAGTTGTCATGGCAACAGTAACAATAGTTTGTTTTTTTTTGAGGCAAATTGAAATTGGTCTTCTGTTCCTGATTGAAATGTCCCCGTGTTGCGGATCGAATTACTCGGTTGCTTTCAAGAAAGGAGATGTCGTGTGTATGTGTGTGAATATGTACGTGTGCAAACAACCGGATGAGTCAACACACATGGGACTCGGTGGGGGTTCAAAAATCATTACTCCCATTCTTCCGAAACCCCCTCATAACAGTAACAGCAGCCAACTAATTTCAAATTCAAACAACAAACGAAATTGCATTTTTAATTTCCACCATTTCATCACAATAACAGTTCATCAACATCATCGAGAATCTGAATTTATAAATATACTGTAAATCCAGAGCGCGCTGGATTCGCAATTTTGTTTAGTTGTCTGTTGTTCTTCTTGTTTCAACTCGAACAGTTTCATTTTCATTTTATTTCGCTCCAAAGTTTTGCTTCGCTTCTGCAAACAGTCCAATTAAATTTGTACAATTCCACGTTCTAATTAAACAATTTCGAAAACATATCCGCTTCACGTTTGCTTTTAATGAATAATTAAATGGAAAAGTTTCAGCTTTTCAATTGTTATGTTTATTTCAGAATTGTTCGCCTCACATGCATTCATATTACTTTGTTATATAATCAAATATGAATAGATTACAAAAATAATTTATTAAAAACGAGTGGATGCGCCGGGTATTTGAATGTTTTCAAATATCTACAAACATAGTCACAGAATACAATTAGCCAATTTCATTGTAATTTGACATATAGGTAGGCGTGTAATCAAATTAAATGTTTTAATTGGTATCCAAGGATACGCGAAACAAATGCGTGTAATAATGACAGTTTCGTGGCGAACGGTAATTTTGAATGCATACATTAAACTTTTCATTATCCTCCCTAAACACACATTAATTTCTACAATTATTTTAATATTTTGTGCAAATCATTCATATTCAGATACTACCGGTGTCAAATTTGACACTGACATTATTATTAACAATAAATTAACTTTTTTTGTTTGTTTCAGAAGAAATTAGTTCAAATAATTCACAAACAATGTTGATGACGATTATTTCATTGAACTATTGAACTTTGAAACAATTATTAAGTTTTAACCTAATTCAACAATGACACATCCATCTGTCATGTTAGTTGTAACGTCAATTTGAGATTTTTACATCGTTCAACGATGATTCTTTTGCATGAAATGAAGTTACATTTATAATCGTTTGTTAAAAGCAAAGTTCGGATATTTGCAGCTATTATGTCAGTTTAATGATCGCAATGACATTGACACTTTTATCTGTCATGTATTAACGTTATAGATTCAATTTGTAGCTTAAGCAGTGTTCAACAATTAAGTTTAATAAAAGTTGATTTATTGATGATTGTCGTAATAGTTTATGTAGTTAAAATTATGAAATTGTTAATGTGAAGAAGATAAAAGTGGTGAAATTCAATGATTTAGTTTTCGCCGCAGGAAAGAATTGATTTTGCAGGGGGTGGGGTAGGGCTGCGATTGAATTGCGAACATACACGCAAAAAAAAAAATATGGTATATAGAGTGCTGTGCGTGGATGAGTGAGTCATGGCAGAAAAAAAAAGAAGTGGTTACTACCTCGATCGAGCCGACCGGTGTTTGTGAGGGTTTTGTCCTGTGTCCCGAAGAAGAGCGTCCACGAGGCGTCTGCACCCTTAAAATAGTCTCTCTCTCTAACTCTGCACGCTCGCTTCTGCTGCTGCTGTCGCTACACGTTCAGCTTTCCTCCGCTCCTCTGCACCGAAAGAGGGATCCAAGGAGGCGCGCGGAACTCGATTTTACACTTTTCCCCAAAATTTTTTTCGCCCGTTCGTTTCGATTTTGAGATTCTCTCGAGTTAAAGGGGTAAATGAGAGAGAGAGACAGAGATTGATAGACGGGGAGGCGTTGAGGGAGACGGACACACACACACACACAGAGAGATAGAGAGGGAGACAGAGAGAGGCGTCTGCGAAACTAAATGTTTTATGATGAAAAGCACATTGATCGAGCCGCAGGGTGCGGAGAAGCCTGCATCCCCCGAGCGCCTCCCTTCTACTGCAGCAACCCGCGGTACAGCAACTCTCAGCAGTTGCCAAACGATCGTCCTGCGTACACCACGATAGGGCGGACGAAAAGGGACGGTGGAGGGCGACAGTGGTGGAAGTTAGGTGGCGCGCGCCGCGACGCCGACTAGACGCTCCCGCAAAAATGCTAATCCCTACGTACGTTCTTCGTTGCATCATCGTCATCATCATTATAGCACAGCGACACACACGCACTCACAACTTTTACGCAACCAACAACAAATTGTTTGACAATCCATTAACCGCTTTGATCTTTAAACAACAATTTCGTAACCTAACGTCAAAACAACTGTCAGATTGTTTCGCAATAATACTTTGAACAGTTAATAATACATCAATTACAAATCTGTAATTGATTAACGTTTCGCAGCATTAAAATTAACAATTTCTATTTCGAACATTACCTGTATTCTGTTGTAATTCTCACTGTAATTTAGTTCTTCAATAAATTCAAAATATGTTTGTTTCTTCTTTTTTTCTATGAAAATGTTTGGTTCGAAAAGAAATCACCAAGGATAATAAAGAAATAAACAACGTTTCACTAACGATTTACTAAATATGATTGAAACTTAGTTAAATAAATAGTTGTGATAAGATAAGTTTTGCAGATAATTATTAACGTAGAGTAGTTTGAATCATAATTTACTCATCGTATGTATTTAGACATTCAGTAAATCATATATTTCATACGTTTTTTTTGGAAATTAATGAAAATTTTTAATATTAATTTTTATATTTCTTGTTACGGTCCTGCGCCGGTGGGGCCCCCAACGTAAATCGAGCGTTCTTTTTCAGAAACCAATCTCCCCCCAACACACCCTTCCTCAAAATCCATGCACCCTGTGCGTGCATCCGCCTACTACAGTTAACCAATTATAATTTTGCACCAAATCATTTTACCCTTCGAACGACTTTCATGCGCGCACGAACACAAAAGAAACAGTAAAAGTAGAACGAAAATACTGAAAAAAATTAACTGAACGAACCATTGTATGTTTCCATGGGAGAGAGAATGAGACAGATGAACATACGTAGGAAATTAATGTCAAGTTCAACGACACGTAATTGATTTATTTCAAATAGCTAAAATTACCTAAAGCAACTACGATCTAACTGTTAAAAAAAAATAGAAACAAAAGAGTTATGCACGGTTCTGTGATCAAAATTGACTGGTGTAATTACAACTTTGCCTGGAGGATTCAATCAAAACGTCGTCTCTAATTAAGGTTTCAGGTCTATTTCTGGAGCTGCCTTCAGCACGAATATTAACGTTCAGTTTTCAGATTTAGTTATTAGAGTAATTATGGTGGATGCGTCGGGTCGTTATATTTTTGCAATTTGAAATACCAATCAACTCTGGCCTTGAAAACAATTTCAATTTAACAACTGCCAAAGTATTTGTCACTTTGACATTTGCATTTGGAAACATATACAATAGTAGAATGGTTTGCGGAATGCAATTAATTTTCATTTAGTTGTTGTAAATCTCATTAATGCGCCCTTTCAGCTTAAAGTTCAATCTGTATTGCAATTTAGTGAATTCGCAGATTCTTTGACATTTGCGTTCTATTGTCTATCAAAAGCTACTTTGATCTCTAAGTTTTAAAGATCAATCATAATTTTGTTTGTTTTTTTTTGTATGAAATGAATACAAATGTTTATAATCTAATTATTAGTGCGAGTAGCGTAATCGGATTAAGTTATTTGAGCCACCCCATCGGAAAAAAGGTCAAAGTAAATTTAATTTCAGTCTATTCGAAAATAATAATATGTTTATATACTCGAAATCCCGATGCGTACTAAATTAATTAGTGATTTGGGTGCAATTAGTGCGGGATCCATCAATAATAAATAATTCAAGAAAACCAATGTTTTGAAGAAGGGTTGACAACTATTTCCAAATCATGGAGGGTTGCGTTCGTGATAACGAGTGTTGCGTGTTCAATTATTTCGAACCAATAAATCGGCGTGAATTAACAAAGCGATAGTTCAACTCGCCACTACTTTATTGAGTAGGCAATGAATTACGTATTCGACTTTTGTTTCATATTACAGCAACAACAACAAACATAACGACGATTATTTAAACCATTGGTTACCATAGGAATATAAGCCAGTGGTTTTCAAACATGATGTTACTACGCCTCCCTCAAAAGTATGTAATCATTTGATGCCTCCCCACCCAGTCCATTTCATAAAAGGAACGCGTATTACCGCAATATAGAGAAGAGCACAGCAATGTATCTATACTTGCTGGACTCCCCAAACATTCAGCTTTCATATGCATATATTGGATTCATTCTATCTTTTATAGTTTTCGAGTAAATCAATGAAATGTAAAAACACTACTTTTTCGAACGTTTTTTCAATTTTGAAAGCGTATTACAGCAATATGGATAAAAGTACAGGAATTTATCTATACTTGCTAGATTCCCCAAACATTCAGCTTTCATGTGCATATATTGGATTCATTCTATCTATTATAGTTTTCGAGTAAATCAAATGGAGGAGGATGGAGCACAAAAAGTAAATTACGTAACACAATTTTCAACGTTTTTATTTTGTATAGAGAGCTCTAAAATAGGATTAATTATATAATAGAATATCATAATACTCGATAATTATTAACATCTGCCGTTTCTTCATCATGTTTTTTTGTTTTGTTTTTGTTTTATATACAATACATACACAAAGCATCAAAATAATTTATGTACAGATTAAAAAAATATATATTTATATAAAGGAAGAAAGATCTTAGAATGAACAAAACAAAAATAGAATGGATTTCCATTTACGTGTGATTTTTGTTTTGTTTTTTTTCACCGAAGAAACGTTGCTTGCGGTTTCTTCTTGCGGGTTTCGCATTTTCCACTTTTCTCGGTAATATCACAATAATAAAATTACAGTTCTTACACACGTTAAACTAACACACACACACACACAAAATAATAATAATCATAATATTTGTATATATATATATATGTATATTTGTTACGTAACTAAATTGTATCCAAGGCTCCGCCCGTTAATTTGGTTGCATACGTGTTTATTACCTGAAACAAAAGAACAATTAGTAATTAGTCGCACGTACGTATGCATCGTTAATTAATTCAGACGCTCGTGGATAACGTGGAATGTTAATTGATAATTCACTTTTCAATGTACGAAGATGTTACTGTGCATCAATACTTGTTTAAAGCTTTTTGCGCAATCATCAGAAAGTGTTAATCTATTTAGTATTAATACTAATAAAAGAAAACAAAACTCTTGATTATTCTGTGTGAAGCTACGAAACTGATCCCAAAATTATGTTAATTAATGTGTTCTATGCAAGACACGGAAGTCGGCGACGTTATGTAAACTAATTCGTGCGAAATTGCGTCACGAAGAAAGCGTGTTCGAAGAACAATGGAAGATGCGCTCGTTCTTGCGATTTGTTTCGTATATTTACCCTGTAAATGAAGGCGTACTGATCCTTGGTTTGGACAGAACTGGCTCTGCCTCTTCGGATCTTGTAGACGATCTTGGGTATATCCACTACACGCTTCATCTCGAACTCCCTGATAGCAATATCACAAGCTATCACCGTTCCCGTCCTGGCCGTTCCAGGACTGCAGTGCACCACGACCGGACACACTTCCGGATTTATGTTTCCGTTCGTCTCCCTCGGCTAACAAAAAAAAAAACATTTATAACATCTCCTCAGCGATTTCAATTCGTTAAATTTACCATGATGTCTGCACTATTTTGTATCAGTTTCACGTAACTCCTGGCTTCGATGAGGAATGCTATCAGCGAGTTTTCCTCTTCGGGGACGCCTTTCTCGGGCCATCCCGAATACCAGATGTGCGTGATCTCCCTCCAGCTGTTACTCACCATATTCTGAAAATGCAAGCAAAAATTGAATTAACAACGTTGAAAGTGAAACCAAGTTAGTTAAGCTACCTTCAGCTGTAAACTGGAAATGATGTACTTGTCTTTGACTTCGCGCTTCTTCAAGGTCACTTGGTAATCGCCGAAGAGACGATGGCAATCCAACACTTCGGACGGTGGAAGATAATCCACGCATTTTTCCTGTTGCAAAAACAACATTTTTATAAGATTAAATCCAATTTATTAAGACAGATTTATAGTAAATAAAAGGAATTGTTAATTGTAATTGAAATTGCGAACTTACCACGCCGTTTTCATACATGTGGGTGAGCATCAGTACGACTTTGGACTGCTGTTCCCAGATCATCCTCCAGAAATCGTTGACGGTGCTCTGCATCGGCGCCTGACATGCGATGTAATACCCTCGGACACCCTTTGGACCCTAATCATAACACGCAACAGATTTAGATCAATTGCTCGCGAAGAGACGGTTCTCTTCTCGCTCTACTCACGGTTACGTAATTGGCGTTGATGTAATCGCCGGTCGGATCGTCGTCGACCGGCGAAAGGAAGACCCGTGTCTCCGGTAAGGGGATAACGTTGGCGTAGCGGTTCTTCGTGTCGCAGCCCTCCGGCAACTCGGTCATCCGAGCCGTTACCTGAGGAATCTCCTCGAACTCGTCGCTTATATCTTCCGTGTTCGTGGCGAACTTGGAGATGCCTTGGAAGTTCAACGGATGCGACACCGTCGCCTTTAAGAAAAATCCATATTTTAATCATACGTCCAAGATAATAAATGTAACGAAATACTTACATCGTCGAAGGCAGGATTTCCGTAGGAGCGTTTAGATCCTCTGATGGCTTTCCTCCTCACGCTATTGTACACTGAAACGTTGTCCATACTATACGAGTCCAAGCTAACAGGAGTGCATCTTTGTCCATAGTTGAAACGCTTTTGTCTTCGCCTCATCACGAACTACAATTCATGAATTATTTACTATTATCTTACAAGAAAAGTTCAAAACTTACCAATAAAACAGCTAAGATAATTAAGCAAACTGCTCCGACAGAAGAAATGATTATAGCTATAACAGTGCCCGAATTCTCCTCCTCCGGCATCCGACTCTCCTCCGTGTCGCTCTCCGCCTCTTTCTCTTCAACGTCCAATTGGTAAGACACGGTAGTTGTTGTGATCTTCCGCACTTCTGGTATCAACTTCCTAACACTTTGAGTGGTCCTCTCCGGTTTCATCGGCACAATCTCAATCTCCTCATTAGTCTTATTCGACTTTTTACTGTGCACGTCCATGTAATCCATTTCATCTACGATATCATCCGCATCATCTTCGATATCGCTAGTTTCATTCTGATTAATCTTAGTTACATTCTCTTTGACGATATCGTTCTCTTTCACATCAATCTTTGGTGCACTTTCTGTTGCTATCTTCCCATCGTACTCCTTCATAATCGCATTCTGCGTGGTCACAGCAATCGTAGACATTTCAGTCGTAACGTCATCTTTCAAAGTGGAAGACCTGACTTGAGCAGTGGTAATAATAAGATTAGTGAGAGTGGATATTTCTGCGGTTTGCGGTAATTTAGTTACAACATCTTCAATTTCTGGTTGAATTGTGGATTGATCAGAGACCATCATATCATCGTTACTTGTGGTATTGCGAACTTCAGTTGCTGTTGTAGCTTCCGTGATGGTTAAATTGGTCAACTCCGTGGGGTCCTCAGAGTCAGCTTCAGTTGTTGATTCTTCTGTGACTTCCTGAGTGGTTGGGATGTTGAATATTTTCATGTTTTTGGTGCTGCGACTTCTTTCGCTTGTGGTTATTTTCGATTCATCTTTAATCACAGCATTTTCAGTAGTCGAAAAATCTTCGGTTGTGGTTTCAGGATTCGTTGTCTCCTTAACAATTTCAGTTGTTGTCTCATCCGCAGCTTCCGTAAATTGAGTCGACGATTCTTCCGCAGTTGTCGGAAGCATTGTTGTCCCATCAGATTGCATTGTTGATGGTAAATATGTTGTTTCCATTATCTTGGTTGTTGATTCCATCATTTTAGTTGTTGATTCTTCTATTTTTGTTAACGATTCCAGTGTCGTTGTTTCAAATGTAGTTGTTAATGTTGATTCAGGCAGCACAGTTGTCGTTGACTCTGAAGTCATCTCAAAGTATTCCTGGTTATCGTGCGAGGTCGTGTAAACTGAAGTAAAGTACTCCGTCGATGTCTCTACGGATTCTTCAGCAGTCATCTCAAACAAGTTGACGGTAGTCGTGGATTCCGTGGTGGCGATGGGAACCGGAACGATCACCGGATGAATGTTATTCTCTTGCACGCTTTGCTCGTAATTCTTGTTTCTGGGGATTTCTGTTGTAGTCTTCAGACTATCCGCGTACCTCGTGGATCCCCTCGAGTTAACATCGACGGCCTTCAGAATTTCGGTTTTAATCTTATTACTCACCAGGGAATCTTTACTAATCTTCTTTGGTAAGTCCGTGCCTTCGGGCGAGATCTTGTTATCCAAGTTCTTCGTCTCATTATACTTAGACTCGAAGTTCACTTTCAAAACTTTTTCGCTCTCGCTGCTCTTGTGCTTGAAATTGGCGCCGCTTCTATCGTCGCTGGAATTGGTGACGTAACGAATCACGTTCAAATCTGTATCGGTTCTGTTGTCTTTGCTCCTTTCTATGAGCTCATCCAAAGTGGGAGATTCAATTTTCCTGATGATTTCTTCTTGGACCTCGTGGTATCTCTTATCGAAGGATTCGCTTTTGGGCGTCGTAAAATCGAAGGAAAATTCCGAAGAAGGTTTGTAAGATTTGGCGATGATCTCCGGATCTATGTACTTGTCGTTTTCAGGTGAGGTAGGCAGATTGTAAACGGCGTTGCGGCTTTGGAATTCCGGTGATGTGTACTTGCTGATATCGAAATCCAATGATCTCGAGTTATCGGTGCGCGTTGCGTTGTACTCTTTCCTGATAACGTTCTCATCTGAAGACGTCGTGATGTTCTTATCATCATTCTTGATTAGGTTCTCATCTGCGGACGCCGTGATGTTTCTGATATCATTCTTGATCAAGTTTTCTTCTGAGGACGTCGTGATGTTCTTGATAACGTTCTCCTCGCTCGTGCTGTTCTTGATGACATTCAGCACGACGCCGCTTGTCGTCGTTTCCCTCTTGATATCATTCTCGTCCACCTCCGGGAGGACAGTCGTGTACCTCACGGTTCCTCGAGTCGTTGCGGTTGTAACAGGGATCTCCTCAGTCTTCGCTACTTTCACCAGGCTCTCGTCTCGGCCTGCTAACGAAGCAGGCTGGATTATCGTGCAAGATAACACCACTAGGAAACATCCTGCAACAATAGAAAAGTTCCAATTATTGCAACAATAACTCCATTTTTTTTTTCGTTTTCGCTATTTGGCTCGGTCGAGAAATTTTCCCTTTTCAGCGAATTAATCCTTAATTTCCAATTCAAATCATTAAAGCGCAATAACTCGTAATCATTGCTTATTATTGCGTCACGAAATTAACTAATTTCCCTTCTCGTCATGGCTTTTTTTAATGATAAACAACTTAAATTGTGACTGAACGAGAGATTAAAGCATTTTGGAGATAATCCGAAATTAAATATTAAAGGATAACTAACAGAGCGCGCCATCCATGGTAAAGTAATTAATACACACGGACTGGTGAAATGTCATTGTCCTTGCTGGATAATCCGAGGCGTATCCGTCATGCATCGAATTACAGTAAAAGCAGATTATCGGCGAGAGTTTGCTCTGTTAATCGTTATATAATGGCGCATAACCATTTCCCATCGAAACAGGTTTCCCTTCATTTCATCATTCAAATTGAACCGTTTCGCGCATCAACCGCGCATTCATTCAATCAATCCAACGTTGAAATTCCAGTTTTCATTTTCGGGAAATTTTCAAAACCGTTTGTTCATTCCGTACATTTTGTTCTCCGTTGAAACCCTTCTCCATACCTACAAAGTTTTCATCCTCACTTACCACATAACATACTACACCATTGCTCCACCCAGACAATTAAAAAGAATCCTTCAGTTTGAACGCAAATGCATCCGCAAAATCCTTCGCCTTCACTACCGACACCCCTCTTCCACCCTCTAAAACCTGGTCACCTTCCCAAACATCCTCGAATACATAAAAAAAAAACTCCAAGGCCGACTCGCTCACGCATAGCCCTTCAAGATCACCCCACCCTCTCACTCTTCAAACCCCCTTTAGGGGCAACATTCTCCAAAGTCCCAAAGGAAAAAATCCCTCACCCCCCTGCCGTCTGGCGTCCTACGCTAACTCCAACGACCCCACATTAATCAACTTCTCCAAGACTTTAAAAAACACTCCCCCTCAGTGATGTAAAACATTCGTGTTGTGCAAGTGATTGTTACTAATATTTATTTTCTTATTATTATTGTTGATGTTTTTTTTTTTTTTTAAAACTTTCTGTTATTAAGAGGCTGAAAGAGGCTAAAGCCCATAACAGTCTGCATTTTTGTATCACACCCTATATTATGTATTATTTAAATTTTATAAATAAATGATGATGATGATGTACATTTTGTTGTTAGTATCCGTTAAAAGGACATTCCGCTCTTTTCTTTCCTCAATTATGAATTCACGGTTTACGAGCAGAGAGTGTTATTAGACTCACGAAATCTGTTGAGCAAAAAGAAAAAAGGACATCGCGAATTCCTTCATTGTCCAGTGATTCAGAATTACGTTTCGAAATTACAGTTGGAATCGGTGCACCAGTTAATTAACGACCATCAAACTCGTAATTTCTGCTACATTAAGAATGATTGGTCTACAAAAGCGTTTCCCAACATTTTTTTGCAGTGCAACCTTTTTGAAGTAAGTTCAATGTAATTTCAATTCTGGGTCACGACCCCTATGTTGAGAAAAACTGATCTACAACATCGTTTCTCAACCTTTTTACCGATTCGTTTGTAGACCCAAATATTTATAATATAAAATAAACTCAGGTCTATAATATAAATCTTGAGAATTTATAGAGAAATAATTGATGAATGGATGGTCTGCAGCGGCGGAAGTCGTTTAACATCGAACGGCTGCATTGACTAATGAACGGGATTGAGCGCATAAATTTCGCTTTGTTTCTATTTCGCGTTGGGCAATCGGCGTCTATAATGTAGAAATGATACGTACCTAGTATGCATCGAACCGTGAAGACCATAATCACATTATAGGTTGCTGCATTGCGGGTCTATCTGGAAGCAGAGAAACAAAACCATTAGGAAAACATTTCAATTTTTGCAATGAAACAACAAACAAAATCAAATTCACGGACAACGAATTTGAGAAAGTTGTGCGCTTCAATTCGTGCATGGATATTCAGAGATGATCGGATCCGATGCGATCACGAAAATCTTTCCGTTGGAGCGATCATGAAGAGAAATTCACTTTCCACCGTTGAAAAAAAAAATATGTATATATACGCATGCAGAACAACAATATGGTGTTTGTCGTGTGCTCTCCTTTTTTTTTTCGTGCTTCATGAGCAACAGTAGAAATTTTGTTTGTTTGGCACGAAAATTGAAATGAAGAGAGAGAAGAGGAAATATATAGGTGAATTACACACGCTAATCAATTACAACTTTGTACTTTATTTACAAATGAATTTCTAAAATTTGTACATATTTCAATATAAGTGAGCACTAATTATAACCAAGACTAAATACATATTGTTGTGTCCAACCACTTTATTATTAATTATTGATATATGTATATAGTAATATGTACTATGTGTACTATGTATAGTATTATGGAAAGTTCACCTTTTTGGTCAAACTCTCTGGTTTCTCATATTCTGCTAGTTTTTACGACCCATCACTGTCTCAAAAGAAGGATTATGTAAAAGTCAAACAGTCAACAATAAAAACTATGCCACGAACAATTAACCTTCCCAAACAATTATAAGATTTATCACCCTTTAGACCTTATCGACAGCGGGAGACATAAAAACTCCCACTGGCGCCTTTAACGTACACCCCCACATGACAAATTAGTCCCTACCCTTCGAATATTATTCTGTATTCAGTACGTCTTCTTATATATAAGACAACACTTTTGTTATTTTAAGATAGTCCCAATTAACCCGAGTCTCATGACTCTTGTAGCAACTGGAAGCTAGGATAAAAATCTCCAGCACACCTGTAACATATAAACTACATGCTGAAAGAGCTAATGCTTAAACAGTATGTCTACTCATGTATAACCATAGATGTAACCTGTATCATATACCAAATAAACACATTTGAAACTATTTTAAGTTAGTCCTAGTTAGTCCGAGACTCATGAGAGTCCTAGGAAGAACCTAGTCCTAGTAATAGTTCTAGTTTTACTCTACTCTTCATCAGCAACTGGAAGCTAGATTATGACACTGAAGCGTCTAAGTCAGTGGTTTCCAAACTTGAAGTTACTACGCCTCCCTCAAAAGTATGTAATCATTTGGCGGGTCCTTTTTCATAAAAGGAAAGCGCATTACAGCAATATAGATAAGAGCACAGGAATGTATCTACACTTGCTAGATTCCCTAAACATTCAGCTTTCATATGCATCAAAAAGCAGTAACTTTACATTTTGTTGATTTTCTTGGAAACTGTAATAGATAGATTTGAATCCAAAAATTCATT